AGTCTGAGGAGTTTCAGGTGAACTCAGCCTTATAAGCTCTGCCTCCACATGGACAAACAGGTTAGTCACATGCAAAAAAGGGCATTGTTTAGGCAATGGACATATGTCTTTGTGGTAACTTTTGTCAGCACAAAACCAACAAGTTCTGTCTGGGTGGTTGTATTTTTTCTAAACTTTAATTTATGTTCTTTAATGAAGTGTTTGACACAGTCTGATGTTCATGTTGGTTTTATCTGGAGAATGAATCCAGATCATCCTGGAGCCAACACAGGACCATCTTAACCTGCTGGTAGGCTCCAGGGCTAAGTGGTTCTGCAGACAGATAAGAATATTTACATGAAGTATAAGTATCAGTATTAGAGCTTTTGTTTGTTCAGAGCATTACAAATGTTATAATTTTGGTTTCCAGAGCCCCTCTATTGATATTGACCAAATGAAGCTGCTGCCTCCATGACAGATTTTAGATGGAGCTGGTTCTCATGGTGCACACACAMCCTGTGGGTTCGTGTGTCTATGAAGCCTCACCTGGCCTCAAAGCAGCTTAGGAATTCAACGTTTTCACCAGAACCAGAAAGTGTCCCAGCAGTTCTCCTACAACACATAAACAAGGTTTTAATGTGCGGTTAGCCCTGTGCCACCATCCACCTCAGTCCGGCTCTGAGCTCTAACCCTGCACACCGCAGACCTGCTCATTTAGTCTCAGCTCTCAATGCTTGTGGCTTCTGATGGCACCAGTGGTCACATGTCTCTTGACTTTTATTTGTCAAAGCTTGTTTACAACAAATCCCGCACATAGTCAGAGTCAGACACCCAGAGTTTGGCTCGGTAAGAAGTCCTGTCTGCTCCAGTCTCACATTTATCCTGACCCTGTTAAGGTTTGTATTTTGAGCTCTGAGTAAACACCGAACAACGTCAAAGTTTTAACAAGTTTGTTGTTAGAAATTTTGGCTGGAAGGTTGGGACCGGACTCCGGGGTCGTCAGTTCTGGACACAGAAGCTTAGGGTTAGGTTGGGTCGTGAACAATATTATTTGTGAAAAAGAAAGTCACCAACCTTTCCTGCTGAGCTGAGATCCGGGTAGAAACAACAGCTGATGTGTTTTGGTTCCGGGCTGTGTTGTCACGGGGAGCGAATGGATCGCTGGACTTACTTGGGGTCAGAAACGGGGCAAGGGTCATACACAGGTGGTCAGAGGACGTTACCAGGTTAGAAGGAGATGACTGAGTCGTTGATCCAGAGATGCATTCAGGGGTCGAGATCCAGGAGGTCTGATGTGGCRTGGTTCCGCTCAGGGAGCAGRTGAGTGACAATAATCCAAGAGACAGAAAAAAGGTCGTYACYGTGAGAGCAGATAACAGGCGGGATCCGACAGGGGCTGAGGTAGGAGRYGTTAAACCAGGAGACATGAGCAAGGTCGGGGACATGAGGCAAGAGCAGGACGAGGGACAAGAACGCTGGAAGATCATAGACAAGGCTGATGAWAATCTGGCAGTGAGCTGGAGAGTGAGACTGGATTATAYWCTGCTGGAAACAGGTGAGTGAAATAAGCTTGAGTAGAGTTTCTATGACGGGAGGGGYGAGAGCAATGAGCAGGAGCAGGATGTGAGCTGAAAGGCTGGGAACAAGACTATGAGGATGAACTGGAACAAGAAATAAAATAATAAAATTAAACTGAGACAAGATCTGGGCAGACAGGGACAGAATCATAACAGACCCTTTGGGTTACAGACCAGTAAACTACATTTTTAACTCACCAACCAAAGAAAAACATCTTTTAGTGGCTTTCCAAAACCAGTAAAACTCACCACTTCATTTTCAGCCTGGAATTTATTTAGATTCTAAGTTTGTCAGCAAACAAGCTTACTGAAAGTGTCAAAATAACTAAGTTGTGCTCATTAAACTACTTTTAACAACTAGAAAGTTTTACTTTTAAAAGGATCAAACTCTATTTCCCACAAGTCGTTCTAGGTTTGTGCTTGAAGCTCAGCTGTGATGGTGACATGAATTCTTTGACAGTTTTTGATGTTCCACAGTGGATGTGACTGTTGTGTAACGTCGGACCATAAGCCCCACCCCCTGGCCACAGAACGCAGCTGATTTGGTCCGAGGAGGCGATGGTTCAGTTTAAATCTGAAGGTTATTGTGATTTGTCAAAGCTGCATCCTTCATTGTAGTTCCTGATGACATTGCTTCATGCAGGCTGGTGAAAACATGAAGCGCTCTGTTGCCCCCTGTTGACTTAAATAAGTACAGCTTTAACAAAAGTGAGCTGGAGTTTTCCTCCAAAAGGTTTCTATAAAATGTTATACTGATAAAATGTAAAATATGGTGCAATAAACTCAGTGGYCCATTGTTCAGTTATGTTTGAAGATTAAACCTTTTTTATTTAACTTAGTTTAATGAATTTTGAGATGTGATGAAGCAGTTTTGTTCTTGTGTGTTTTTTGCAGATCCTGTTCGATCAGACGCAGCGTTCGGTGAAGCAGCAGTTACATAACTTTGTGAAAGAGTAAGTTTGAGCTGTGTGAAAAAGGCAAAGGCAACCCTTTTAAACTGTGTTTAAATATTAAATATGCACCATGTTCGACCATCATGAATCAAAGTCTTCCTCTGGTGACTTTACAGATCTTAAACTGAGATTGTAGGGGAGACCGGGGACAGTAGCAACAAGGGACGGTTGCAACACGTCATTTTTCTCCAAACAGAAACAGTGTAGAGT